TGACATATTCAAGTCCTCAGCTTGTTTTCTCTCTCTTTCTTTCTTTCTTTCTTTCTTTCTCTTTCTTTCTTTCATAGGGTCTCACTCGGTTGCCCAGGCTGAGTGCACTGATGCTATCACAGCTCACTGTAGCCTTGACCTCCCAGGCTCAAGCAATCCTCTGATCTCAGCCTCCAAGTAGCTGGGGACACAGGCATGCATTGCCATGCCAGCTATTTTTCTTTTTCTAGAGATAGTGTTGCTCAGGCTGATCTTGAACTCCTGGGCTCAAATGATCCTCCTATCTCAGCCTCCCAAAGTGCTAGGATTATAGGCCTGAGCCGCCATGCCCAGGGAGCTCATTTTACCTTTGAGGCCCTCAAGAGAAAGAGGCTAAGTAGATTGCTGAAAGCTCAGGCAAATCTTTTTTTTTTTTGAGACGGAGTTTTGCTCTTGTTGCCCAGGCTGGAGTGCAATGGTGTGATCTCACCACAACCTCTGCCTCCTGGGTTCAAGCAGTTCTCCTGCCTCACCCTCCAGAGTAACCAAGATTACAGACATGCACTACCATGCCTGGCTAATTTCGTATTTTTAGTAGAGACTGGGTTTCTTCATGTTGGTCAGGCTGGTATCAAACTCGTGAACTCAGGTGATCCACTTGCCTTGGCCTCTCAAAGTGCTAGGATTACAGCCGTGAGCCACTGTGCCCGGCCTTGGAAAGGTCTTGATCTGCACTCAGGAGGCTGATTCCAGACAGCCATCATTCTACAGAGGTGGCGATCACCTCTCAACATGTGTAGGGTGAGTAATGGCATGAGTGAGTGGAAGAAGCCACCGTGACCACTGGCCATGCCGAGAGACCATGACCCTGTACTTCCCAGCTCTGGGCCTCCCATTGTCGATCTGTAAAACAAAAGGGCTTAGACCAAAAATTTCCATGGTTCTCCCAGCTCTGGAAGAGCTTTCACCATTTTTTGCCTCAGTTTCCCCATCTGTCATCCAAGGGAATGGGACCTAGATGATCTCTCAGGCCCTTTCTGACTCCACAGGCCAATGTCGACAGTAACCTCTGTGTGTTTCAGGCCATGGGCCCCGGAGATCCCCTACCATGGAGTCCCCATTGTTCAAGTGATTCTTCTGCCTCAGCTCCCAAGTAGCTGGGATTACAGGTGCACACCACTACTGCCAGGCTAATTTTTGTATTTTTAGTGGAGACAGGGTTTCACCATGTTGGCCAGGCTGGTCTTGAACTCCTGACGTCAGGTGATTCACCTGCCTCGGCCTCCCAAAGTGCTGGGATTATAGGCATGAGTCACAGCACCCAGCCAAGGTGCTGAATTTGAGGCCACATGGCAGTACGGGGCATAGCTGGGGCTGGGACCCCTTCTCCAACACAAAGCTATTCTGCCTCTGGGATGAAGCCTGCCCTCGGTGGGCTGTACTTTTCCCTCTGCTCTGTGGGTTTTGCTGGGCGCGTGGACAGCGTCCTCCCAGACACCCTGAGCCCAGGAGTGGCCCCGCCCTGCTCAGTTCCTCAGGAAGTTGTTCAGCCACACACACTGTGGGTAGTACTGGTGCCCAGACTGGGCTCCTGCCAGCCGCCAAGGACAAAGGAGACTGGTGCCTCTTTGCCAGCCTTTCTTGTTGGACACTCCTTGGGGCTGAGGTCCAAGGAAAGAGAGCCCCATCATCTCCAAAGACTGCCCTACCTGTGTGTGTCCCTGCATGGATTGCTGTGGCTAAAGACACTCGGGGGTCACTTGACCTCATTTTTTAAAATTACTTACTTATTGAGACTGTTTCACTCTTGTCACCCAGGCTGGAGTGCAGTGGCATGATCTCGGTTCACTGCAACCTCTGCCTCCCAGGTTCAATCAATTCTCCTGCCTCAGCCTCCCCAGTAGCTGGGATTACAGGTGCCTGCCACCATGCCCAGCTGATTTTTATTTTTATTTTTTGTTTTTTTTGTAGAGACAGGATTTCACCATGTGGACCAGGCTGGCCTTGAACTCCTGACCTCATGTGATCCACATGCCTGAGCCTCCCAAAATGCTGAGATTACAGGCGTGAGCCACCGGGCCAGGCCTACTCAGCCTCGTTTCAAAGGCGATTCCTTTCATGCTGTGAGGAATCAGGTATTGCTAGGCTTTCCTTAAAAATAGTGTTCTGGGCTGGGCACTGTGGCTCACACCTGTAATCCCAGTACTGTGGGAGGCCGAGGTCAGGCATTGGAAACCAGCTTGGCCAACATGGCAAAACCCCTTCTCTACTAAAAATACAAAAATTAGCAGGGCCTGGTGATGCATACCTGTAATCCCAGCTACTCGGGAGGCTGAGGGAGGAGAATCGCTTGAACCCGGGAAGTGGAGGTTGCAGTGAGCTGATTATCAGGCCACTGCACTCTAACCTGCGTGAGACTCCGTCTCAATCAATCAATCAATCAATCAAATAGTGGTCTGCAGGCTTTCAGGGATGTGGGCTGGCCTGTCTTCTGCGTGGGAGCCGGGAAAGAATGTTTTGAAGGCTTCCTCCGGTGGGCCACTTTGGCTGATGTGACTTTATTCCTCACATTATGTAGCGAGGCCGGGGGACAGACAACGGGGACAGAGGAACGGGCCAGCAGGCGGCTGTCCTGGGGAAATAGCCATGGCATCCGGGAGGCTAGGGTCTCAGCTCTGCTCAACCCGCACATCTTTTCTGTGCTTTCCTTGAAAAACAGAAACAAGAGTGGACACCGAAGTCTGCCTATCTCGTTCCTGTCTCCCGTTTCAGTCTCAGGCTGGCAGTCCTCTGTGCGCGCGCTAGAAACTCTGCAGGCAAGCGCCTGCCTCCCGCTTGATTTTCCTTGGGAAAGGGCCTGGGGCCTCCTGGGGGTGGGCACCAAGTATGCGTGGGGGGACCTGGCAAGGAGCAGCGTGGGAGAGGCGGGGTGGGGACGTCGCGTGCGCCCCAGGAGCCTGAGGATGCGCTGCCTTCGGTGGCGGGGAGACAGCCTTGGGGCGGGTGGAGTGCTAGGAGCTCTCTGGGTCAGCGCGGGCGGGGCCGGCGTCGGGGACGACGAGGGGAGCGAGGCTGGGGCTGGGAATCGGGGGCCCTTCCCCATCGTCTCCTGGCCGCTCCCTCCACCTGAGGAGGCGATTGTAAAGGAAGGGGGGACGCCCTCTGCCACCACCTCCCAGGCACTTGGGAGATGGAAAACGACAAAATGCGGAACCTCCCCCTCCCTAAAATGTGGGTGGGGAGGGTGAAGGGAGGACACCCCTTCCCCGCCCCCCGCGCCAGCCTTCGCCGGGCTCCGCCAGGGACCCCTCCCCGCGGTCGGGGTGGGGGCGGGCGAGGAGCGCTGGGAGGAGGGAGCGGAGCGGAGGGGAGGACGAGGGCGAGGTCTGCTTCAAGAAGGGGCGTGTGGCCGGCGCAGCGCGTGCTCCAGCGGCTCCGGAGCGAGCGACCGCCGCGGCGAAGGGGAGGGCGGAAAGTTTGTTTCCCCGACGTCAGCGCCGGGCGGGCCGTGGAGCCGGGAGGCGGCGGGAGCCAGGCAGAGCGCGGGGCGGCCGGGGCGCTCGCTCCGACCCGCTCCCGCGACCCCTCTTGGGACCCGCGCCCGCGACCCCCGCCGGCCTCCCCGGGGCCGCTCGCGGGCATGGACAGCGCGGCCGCCGCCTTTGCCCTGGACAAGCCGGCGCTGGGCCCGGGGCCGCCGCCGCCGCCGCCCGCGATCGGGCCCGGCGACTGCGCCCAGGCGCGCAAGAACTTCTCGGTGAGCCACCTCCTGGACCTGGAGGAGGTGGCGGCGGCCGGGCGGCTGGCGGCGCGCCCCGGGGCCAGGGCCGAGGCGCGGGAGGGCGCGGCGCGGGAGCCGTCCGGGGGCAGCAGCGGCAGCGAGGCGGCGCCGCAGGACGGTGAGTGCGGCCAGCCGGGGACTGGAGCGGCGGGGCCGGGGCGCGCGAAGATGCGGGGCGCGTGGTAAGCGGCTGGACCTCCGGCCGCGGGTGTAGGTAACGGCGTGGGCGGCGGTGGACCAGAACTCAGGGCTTGGGGAGGGGGACCCTCTTCGGGTCTTGTGGTGTGTCCCACGGGAAAGCGCGCTGCCTTCGCGCCCTAGTGCTCCGCTCCGGAACAGCCTGGGAAGTGGGTGTGGCTGCTGCCGCGTTACCACTAGGGAAACCGAGACTTGAGTGGGGCAACACCGCTGAGCTGCACGTTGGGATTTTAAACCTGCCGTCTCCCTCCCGCACGAGCGAGGGCCGCCCCAGCTCCTCCTCCGTCTTAGGTTGGGCTCTTTGGGGGGGGACAGTGCCTGTCCACCCCCACCCTCCAGTTTGCCCCGGGAGCAGCTGCCTCGGTGGAACGGGCCCAGCCAGGCCTCTCTTCCCCTGCGGAGGTTAAAGGTCATCAGGAAGGGGCTTTAAAAACAAACAACCCACCCAAGTGGCCTTTTTCAAAAAGTGACACAGGATGGCAGGGTCCTGAGCCCTTGGTAAGAAGGGGAGGGATGGGGAGAAGATGGAGAAAAAGCAAAGGCCCAGCCCTGGCCGCTTCAGTGGGGGAAGGGAGGGGAGGACCAGAGTCCTCGCCGCTGCTCAGTGCACACTAAGCATGGGAGCACACTGAGCATGGGAGCCGGCTGGTCAGAGACCAGGCCCCTGTCCCCTAGCTCTGGGGGTGGTCGGCCTGCTGGGGGCTCTGGGTCCCTGAAGTGTGCCACCTGACTCCAGCAGCCTGAGGAGCCTGCTCTACACCAGCCTCCAGGTCTCAGGGTGCCCAGGCTGGTGGCATTCCTCAGTTTTTCAGAGACAGGAGGTGGAGGGAAAACAGAGGTGGTGACTGCAGCCTGGTCTGAAACCATGTGCGTTGGCGGGGATGCCTGCGACACGCTTGCCTTTCACGGCGCACCTTCTGACTGCACCCAGCTGCTGCCAGCCTGCCGCTGAGATGAAGCCACTGGCTCCCTCACGGCAGCGGCCACCACTCAGCGGCCACAGTGGACTGGCCACTCTCTGCACCCTCCACAGTGAGTGTGAAGCCGGCAGACCTCCCAGGAGGTGGGGTTTAGCTCCCCAGTGGAAAAAGGGAGGGAGATGTCCACTCTGTCGAAGAGGAAAGTCGGTGCCCCCTGGTTTGTGGTGGGGGAATGCCCTGCCTGCCCAAGGTCATTTGAGGACCTCAGCAGCTCTGAGCCGGCCCGCACCCCCAGGACAGAGGAGAGGGAGGGAGACTCCAGGGGTTGGGAAGAGACGGAGGAACCACTGGAAGGTGAAGGGAAGGAAGGAAGCGGGGACATGGAAAGAGGGAGAGAGGGAAGGACAGAGGCAGAGGAAGGAAGGGAGAGGAGAGGGGTGCGGAGCGGTGAGGGGAGAAGGAAGGGGGCCGGGGTGTCTTGTACTCCAGTCCTGGTGGAGGGGGACGGGATGCCCATTTCTGCCCTACCCCGGCTGTGGGGAAAGACAGGGAGGCCATGCTTCTCCCGGACACAGTGTAGAAGGTCTCTGGTGGCGGGTTTCCCTGGGATCCCAGAACAGCTAGTGTCAGGCGGGGATGTGGGCGCCTGGACAAAGCCCTTGGCAGCCTCTGGGCAGCTGGGTGTGCAGTGGGTCTTCCCAGCAGCCTCCTGGGGCTGGCCATCCTCCTGGAGAGCCCATGGGGCCTGCAGGCCTTCTCCTAAGAAGGGGCGTTGGCACACTGGGAGTACCCAGGCTTGCTTGGGACACACTGGGTGTGGGATCAGGTGGGGTAGAGTCTGGGCCAGGCTCCAGGAGGCGCTTGTGGAGTGGCCCCTGTTTTGGAAGCTGCCTAACTCTTCCCTAGAGAGGATGGAGCTCTGGCAGGGACCGTCCCTGGGCTCTGCCCAGGGTGTGGGTCTGGGTCTGGGTCTGGGTCTGGGTCTGCAGACAGGAGAGGAAGAGAGGGGACTGCGAGCCAGGCACCAGTTTCCTGCCCATCCCACTGGGTCAGACCGCTCCACCCACTGCCACTTGCTGTGGATTCCCAAGTCCTGAAGGCTCCAAAAGTGGTAGAGACGGGTCCCTCTTTCTCTCCTTCTGCACCCTTTGAAAGTGGGCAGCCAAACCTTGCTGGGGTTGCCGGGATGCCAGACCCCAGGCCAGGGGACTGGGTATTGGGCTACAGTATGGTCCTCCAGTCCCAGACTTACAGGAGCCCAGGCGCCTCACCGGGGATCCAGACATGCTTGGAGCTGGGTTTCCTATGGCTTTTGAGTTGTTTTCAGGTCCAAAGCAAGAGATGGTCTGGCTGGGGGCAGTGGCTCACGCCTATAACCCCAACGTTTTGGGAGGCTGAGGTGGGCGGATCACCTGAATTCAGGAGTTCGAGACCAGGCTGGCCAACATGGTGAAACCCCGTCTCTACTAAAAATACCAAAAAAAAAAAAAAAAAAAAGCTGGGCACAGTGGCAGGTGCCTGTAGTTCCAGCTACTCAGGAGGCTGAGGCAGGAGAATCGCTTGAACCTGGGAGTCAGAGGTTGCAGTGAGCTGAGATCCCGCCGCTACACTCCAGCCTGGGCAACAGAGCGAGATTCCATCTCAAAAAAAAAAAAAAGAAAGAAAAGAAAAAGAAGAGTGAATGGGGAACACCAGTGAGTTAGTAATTAATGTGTCTTCAATCTGCTGGGATAGCAGGCACCAGTAGATAAAGCCTGCTATTGCCAATGACTTTCTAAGACCAGGCTCCCTTCAGAAATGGCTGGGAAGGAAGGCTGTGGCTTCGCAAGTGACTCAGAACTAATCAGGGTCTCGGGTTCCTTCCTCCCCAGTCAAACGCTGAGGGCTGCACCCAGCGCTGAGCTATGCCAAACACGTTAGGAAAACAAACCCTCCTTTGCTGCCTTTGCAGTGACTAACAACAAAAGAAACCACGTGAATGACTGAGATTTTCTCTAAAGCATTCCCTCCTGTGGGCAGGGCGGAGACAGGGACATGGACACACTCTGGAAATAAACAGAGCCCCTAGAGCCAGGCAGGGGTGAGGTCCCCAGGGAAGGCCAGGAGGCCAGTGCTCAGGGCTGGTGCCTGCTTTGGAAAACCCCAGGATTCACTGCAGGAGAAACCAAGGGATCCCCTGTGGATCCACTTTTCAGAGATTCGGGAAGATGAAGTGCTTGTGTCTAGGGCATGGGACAAGCCAGGGTGGGCTGGGAGCCCTCGGGGGGGCTGTCGGTGCGTCTGTGACTAGGAGTGAGTCTGGTTTGTGGTGGGGGTCCCCCAAGGCTCCACGTGGCTGGAGGGGGCCCCTGAGTTGAAGAGATTGGCAGACCTGCCTTCAGTGATCTTGTTGCGGTAAAAGATGGCTAACATCAGAGTTGCCATTTTCACCATTTACAAGAATGCAGTCCGGTGGCGTGAAGTCCACTCACTTTGTCACGCAGCTGTCACCACCATCCATCTCCAGAACTTTCTCATCTTCCCAGATGGAAACTGCACCCCCTTGAACATGCATCCCCTCCCCCAGCCCCTGGCACCCAGCATTCCACCTCCTGTCTCTGTGGATTTGACTCCTAGGGATCTCGTATGTGAGTGGAATCCTGCAGCATCTGCCCCTCTGTGACCACCTTATTTCACTGAATGTGGCATCTGCAGGGCTCACCTATGTGTCAGAATCTCCTTCCTTCTTAAGGCCGACTCTCATTCCACTGCACCGATGGACCACACTGTGTATCGGTTCACACATCCGCAGACACGGGGCTTGTTCCCGCCTGCTGTGCACAGCACCACTATGGAAACAGGTGTCCAACTCTCCATTCGGGTCTCCGCTTTTCATGATTTGGGGTATCTACGCAACGTTGAAATGACCACATCCTATGGTAGTTCTACCTTTATTTTTTATTCTTATTTTTTCTTTGATGGAGTCTTGCTCCATCACCCAGGCTGGAAGGCAGTGGCTCAGTCGCACTCACTGCAACCTCCGCCTCCTGGTGTCAGGTGATTCTCCTGCCTCAGCCTTCCGGGTAGCTGAGATTACAGGTGCATGCCACCGTACCTGGCTAATTTTTAGTAGAGACAGGTTGGTCAGGATGGTCTTGAACTCCTGACTTCAGGTGATCTGCCCGCCTTGGCCTCCCAAAGTGCTGGGATTCCAGGAGTGAGCCACCTCCAGGCCCTACCTTTACATTTGTTAAGGGACGTAATACTGTTTTCAGGGCTGACTTCAGTTTTTAATTGGCCTCCCTGTAACTGATTCTGAAACACGACGTCAGCACAAGACCAGAGCAAGGTTTTGGGGGAAGAGACAAAGGGGTTCCTTCAGAGCCCAGCCTTTGAAGACAGCTTGCTCACCTTCTCCCTCCCCTCTCTCCCCTTCCTTCCCCTTTCTCTGTTTCCTGGGGAAAGGAGCATTATGCTCCGGTCCAGATCCTGGCTTTTGCTGTCCTCTCCGCGTGTGACCTTGGTCGTGTCATGTCCCCTCTCTGTGCCTCGTTCTCCACCTGAACAGTGGGAGATGGCGTACAAGGGTTGGGAGACCCTCCTGACCCAGATGATTTGACCCAGGCTTAGGAACCCCATGATGGGCGCCCCTCCGGGATGTGGAGTCTCTGAGCCTGGGTCTGAGCTGGGCCTGGTGCCTGGACGCTCAGACATGTGACCCTGTCTCTGCAGGATCCTGGGAGCAGCGAGGGAGGAGGAGTGAGCAGCCAGAGGCTGCGTGCCCAGGGGGCTTTCCGTTTGAAAACTGCTGGGCCTCCCTGGGTGGCTGGGGGCGGGACAGTGGCCCTCATCGCATCTCAGCCTTTTTGCCAGGGAGGGTTGGTTCATTGTTCGTGGTTCCCCGACCTGTTGCGCCTCGGTCCAGTAGATCATCGGGGTGGGGCTTGGTGGCCTGGCACAGGGGGCTCAGACCAGCTTGCCCTTCTCTGTGGGCAGAAGCTCAACAGGCTGGAGCCACCACTGTTCCCTCCCAGAAAACTCCAAAAAAGTAGCTTGGAACACTAGTGACAGCACCTGCTTACATGCCATCCTTGAGGCCTGAAAAGAACCCCAAGACTCAGGGTTACCATGTATGGGATGGGAACGAGGGCTGTGGTCTCCCTCATAGCGGTGCAGTGAGCCTGGAGTGGATGGGGGTCCTGGGGTCCATGCCTGGGGCAAAGGATATGCTCAGTTAAGCATCTCCACTGCAGCTCCTGGAGACACTCTGTGAGGGCCTGTGAGTCAGGCGACACTGGTGATGCCATCCCTATATTTTGGAGGCCCAGAGAGGCAAAGCAACCTGCCCGAGGCCTCACAGCTGGGAAAGGAGGGGGGGGGATTTCATTTTGGATCATTAAGTCCAGACCTCCCTCTCCTGTGCCATCCTTGGGCTGGGGGAGTCAGGGAAGGGGAGCCCACCTGGCTGTTGGGGAGATTCTGGCTGAGGCTCATTGGGGAACAAAGCGGGTGAGAGGGACAGGCCCCAGGGGCCGGCACAGAACGGGCTCTGGGATGGACCTGTGCCTATGTTAGGTGTTTCTGGGTGGGTAGGGGCAGGAAGGAAGCTTTGGAGTGGGTTGTCCCGGTCAAGGACGTGTGGTCAGGCTGGACAAGGCAGAACCTGGGGCACGTCGGTGGTTTCCTAGACCCTAAAGGACAGTGGCTGACCCAGGGTGGAGGGGGAGCTTGGGGGTAATTTAAGGGGAGCCAGTGCTTCCCCGAACATACCCTACAGCAGTGCAACACCCTGGGCCAGAGGCAGCGCCAGTGGAGCAGAAGGGGTGGCCATGGTGGGGCTGAAGGAAGGCGTGAGGGGATGGGGTGAGAGTGACCTGAAGCCTCATGGGCACAGCAGCTATGTGCTCTGCATGTGGGCTGAAGCGTTACAAGCCTCTTTGGAGTTGTCCTTCCACCAGCCGTATGAAGTGGGTCCTGTGAGTCAAGGTCACACCATTCTCATTCCTGTAAGATTCCAGCCTGGCCTTCCTGTTCCAAAGCCCCCACTCTCCACCACTGCCCAAAGCTGCCTCTAGCTCCAAAGAATGCTGGGGTGGCCCAACCAGGGATGTCCACCCCCAGGCAGGTGTGGGCTGCTTTCAGGGAGCCGTGAGGTGGCCCAGGTCAGGGGTTCTCTGCAATATCTCCAGCAGCCTGGCCTGGGTCCACAGGCGTGAGGGAGATGGGTCAGGCCTGGGGAGTGGGGACAGCCCGGTACTGGGGTGTGTGAAGTGGGAGTGGTGGGCTGCCCTTCCCTTCCTGCCGGGAAAAACTGGAACAGCCACCTTCACCTGTCTCCCGGATGCAGGATGCAGGAGCACTGCGGAAGGGCCCTGTCTCTGGGAATAGCAATAGGACAGGTTCCTTTACCCCTCCATCCCCAGCTCCCGCACTTGTTCATTCATTCATTCATTTATTCATTCATTTACATAAGGTGTCAATTCTGGCCGGGCGCGGTGGCTCATGCCTGTATTCCCAGCACTTTGGGAGGTGGAGGTGGGTGGATCACCTGAGGTCAGGAGTTCGAGACCAGCCTGACCAACATGAAGAAACCCCATTTTTACTAAAAATACAAAAAAATAACCAGGTGTGGTGGTATAGGCCTGTAATCCCAGCTACTCAGGAGGCTGAGGCAGGAGAATTGCTTGAACCGGGGAAGCGGAGGTTGCGGAGGTTGTGAGCCGAGATCACACCGCTGCACTCCAGTCTGGGCAACACCAGGGTAGCTCTGTCTCAAAAAAAAAAAGTGTCAATCCTGAGTTCCACTGTCGGCCTGTGGTTCCCAGACTTCCAGTTTTCAAGTGCCGCAATGCAGAACAGTTCCAGTCACCGAGGAAGCGGCATACAGTGGACAGCATGAAAGCTTTGCCGGGAAGAGACTTGTACTCAGAACCCTCATGTCCCCACCCTTTCATCCAAGAAATAACCTTTGAGTATCTCCATCTCTGAGTAAAGAAAGGCTCTTGGCCAGGCAAGGTGGCTCAAGCCTGTAATCCTAGTACTTTGGGAGACTGAGGCGGGAGGATTGTTTGAGCCCAGGTTGAGCAATATGTGGAGACCTCATCTCTACAAAAAATGAAAATTTAAAAAATTATCTGGGCATAGTAGCATGCACCTGCAGCCGCAGCTACTCGGGACACTGAGACAGGAGGGTCCCTTGAGCCCAGGAGTTCGAGGCTGCAGTGAGCTGTGATCACGCCACTGTACTCCAGCCTGGGCGACAGAACAAGACCCTATCTCAAAAAATAAAAACAAACAAAAGAAAGAAAGGTTCTTAAAATCGACTTAATTTAGCTTCATAAGAAGCTCACTCATTGTCCCTATTTTTCTCATTTTGTTGGTGAAAACTTTGTCCTAGGCTGGCATTTGGGAACCACATGGTCTGGCTTTCCCAGATTCCCAGACATAAAGACACACAGACCCACACCTGCCATGCCACATACTCACACCGGCCATGCCACATACGTACACCGTGCACACACGCCTCCCCTGTCGTGAGGGCTCCAGCCCGGTCCCCGATGGAGCCCTGGCTGTTAGTGGTCTGGGTGGCCTCAGCGGCTCAAGAATAGATGGACAGATGCATCTGCACCAGTGTGGGCCAAGGGTTAAGTGCCTTTTGCGAGGTGGTGAGTAGGAGAGAGCCGTGGGAGCTTCCTGTTTAGTCAGAGGGAGGCTGGGGAAGTTATCTCGCTGGCTCCCACACCGAGCAGACGAAGAGATGGGGTGTCCGGCAGTCAGCATCCAGCAGGTAGGGAGGTGACATGGGACAGGGGGCAGGTCGCAGAGCATCCCTAGGAGGGGCAGAGCTGGCCACGGCTTTCCCTCCCAAGGAGCATGGGCTTGCTGGGATACCCCACTCTGGCCAGAACCCAGGAGCCACGGAATCACACCAAGTCCTGGAAGTAAAGGTTGTTATGAGAACCAGAAAGTACTGGTTCCCACTTGCTCTCGCTGCCCTGAGCCTGGGTCCGGGCGCCTGCTCTGTGTCCCTTCCACATCAGGGAAGCTGTCTGTGCCCAGCCAGGTTCTGGGGGGCCACCAAGACGGCAGGATGGGTCCACATGGGACCCTTGATGGCTAATAATATCTTTTCCTGTGTCCTAAAAATGAAGCAGGCTCTGGAAGATATTATGTTGGTTTCTCTCCGTGATGGATGGATTCTGCTTTTCTGTGCGTGGGTTGGGCAGCCGAGACCTTCCGGTTTGGGGGCGGTGGGAGGGGCTAGGAGAGAATGGGGACGACGGGTTACGGAGCTGCCAAGGAGCTGAGGCCGGTAGGATTGAGGACTGGGCAACAGGCTGGGGGCTGCAAAACGTGCAGTCTCTGGAGGAGGTTTGAGGGTGACACAGTAACAGAGAAGGAGACCCAGGCTGAGAGGCCTGGAAACTTCCACAGAGGGGCCCTCCCCTGAGAGCTGAACGAACACATGGGTTGCTGGAGAATTGACAAGGTGAGGACAGGGAACCTTCCGTCACTGCTGCCCGAGAGGCAGTAAGAGGGGCCCCAGACTAGGAGTCAGGACACGGGATTCCTACCTCGCCCGGCCCAACTCTACAGCCTGAGACACACGCTGTCGCTGGTCCAAGCCTCAATGTCCCCATCTGCCAGATCAGAAGGGTGGACATCTGTTTATGGACATACGTTGTGTGGTCCCAGGAGTCACTGCGTTAGAATCACCCAGGGAGCTGGTGCAGTTCCGGGCCCCACCCCGACCTGCCAGATCAGACTCGGACCCCGGCCAGTGCATCTCTGCATTTCACAGCACCCTTGCCTAGTGATTTTTGCACCCTGCTGCAGGCTTCTTCAGGGCTGACTCTGCCTCCCTCACCCTCCTCAGTTTACCAGAGTGGAAATCGGTCCTCTCGAGGGGATGGAGAGGCCAGGGGGAGCCACCGCAGGACGCATGAGGCTGGCATCGGACCCAGAAGTGCCCGCAAGTGTCCATTATACAGGAGAGGGAGGGGCCGCACCGAGGCTGAGCCCAGCATCCCCGGAGACTTGACTTTGTGCCAAAGCTGCACTGCGAGTCTAGGAAGAAGCATTTGCTCTCGGGACCATTCCCCAGCATTTATTGATCACCCACTGAGTACCAGTCCAAGGCAGCCCAGGGGGTTGGAATGCAGGGGTGATGTGATCAGACGATTCCTGTCTCTTCTCTGCCAGCATCCTGACCCCCTCTAGCTTTGGCGGCCAGGGTTGGGGTGTAGGGGCAGTCAGAAACCTCCCTGCTGAGCTGGGAGTCTCTGGAAAAGCCCCCTCCTGACATCCTGCCCGCACCTTCTGCCCCCATGCTACCCTCCCTCCCCTTGTAGGGCTCCCTTGGGGATGGAGACCCACTGTCCCCAGGGGGCATCCACCTCACCCGACTTTGTCCCACTGCCCCACCCCGCCTCCCCGTCTGTCCTCCCCCACTGCTGGCCTCCCTCTTGCTGGCCTCCCTCTTGCTGTGGGCACAGACGTTTACACGCCAGAGACGGCGTTATTAAAAATGACATTTAACCAGAGCTGGAATTACCACGTGGATGGCTGCAAACCTCGGAATCAAAGCGGGAGCCGCCGGGCGGGCGCGCCTGGCAGGGGCCTTGCGGCCTATCTCCCCGCCAGAGCTCTGAGCGGGCCTCCCATATAAAACCCCGCAGAACTCCGAGGTCTTGAAAGCCAGTGCACCTCCTTTCATTAGACTAACAAATAACACGTAACAGAAAACAGCTGTTAACAGCAGCCCCTAATGCTCTCAAGATGGTGCTGCAGGCAGCCCATCCAGCTAGTGGGCAGCCGGTGGGCAGGGCAGCCGCACGGGCTCAGGTGGAGGCTCCCCCCCCAGGTGGGTGTAGAATGCCTGGCACCTCCTGTTTTCCAGGGTGCACCCTCTGGGACCCAGGAGGCTGCACCCTCTGGGACCCAGGAGGCTCCTTCTCCTTCTCTCCTTCCTCCGGCTTCCTTCCTTCCTTCCTTCCTTCCCCGATCCTTGCTGAGACCCCGTGTCTGAGGGTCTGTTTGCAAGGGGTTGGGCTGTAGGCTGGTGGGCATCCAGGGTGGCATGGCCAAGAGCATGAGAAGCAGAGGCCAGATCTTGAGTTCTAGCCCTGCCTCTGGCCCGCTGAGTGATTGTGGCCAGTTTCTCTCCCAGCTTCTCATTTGTCATCTGGGGAGGACAAGAGTCATGCCTCCTTGTCAGGAGGTTTTGAGGATTTGGGAGAGGATGGAAGTGGAGTTCTCAGCAGGCAGCCAGACAGTGCTCAGACTAGAGAGTATCTGAGATCATGATCACAGCTGAGGAAGCTGGAGCTCAGTGAGGTTAAGTGACTTGCCCAAGGTCACACAGCGGGTAGAGAAGCCGCAGAGCCCATGTGCTTTCAGGACACAGTGAAGCAGGGATTGAGACATTCAGAAATGGGTCTGACCTAGCCCCTGCCCTCAGAGGGCTTCCAGTCTGCAGCTGACACAGAGCATGAGCTCTGAAGCCCAGGCTGAGGCCGGGCAACGCCTCAAGGCTCCCACTGCTAACCCTGGGGGCTTGGAAGCCAGAGGGGCCTCCAGATGCAGACATCATTCCAGGTGCAGGTGCTGGGAGACTCAGGGCCTCCCCAGAGCCGGAAGCGTGATCCCCGAAGTTCAGAGGGGCTCTGTCCTCAAGCCTGGAGAAGGAAGGGCTGTATCCTTGGCTAGGGAGAAAAATCCAGAGAAAACCTCCCAAAGTTGGGAAGAAAGACAAATGGACATTTTGTTTCATTTCCCCTCATGATGAGGCCACAGAAAAGAGACACTTTTGCCTTCCCCCTGAGGGACTGTGGGTTAAACTCCGTGCCTCCCCACTCCCTACCAAGATCTGCTCTGCGTTTTCGTTCCAGGAAAACTGCATAGGATTCTCCTCGTTTGCTCTTTTTTTTCAGTGCACATGCGTGTTGTTTTGAGATGCTGGGAAAATCCCAGTGAACAGACCAACCCTGGTCTCAGCAGGCATAAGCTTAGCACGAAGGCGCCCCCCCACCCCCCACCCCACAGATCCTGTTCTTATCATCTGCCAGGCTCCGAACCCTGGGATTGATGGGTAGCCTCTCACGGAATCACTCAGCAGCCTCGCGAGAGAGGTGAAGCTTTATCCCTGTCTTACAGGCGAGGAATCTGAGGCTCAGAAGGATAAAGTGACTCGACCCAGGAAATATGCAGTGATCCCGGAGCCCAGGTATCACTCGGGCCACCTGGTGCCAGTGCCCCAGATGGCCAGGGAGCCACGCAGGGTTCTCTTGCTAGAAACAGTCTAGGCTCTGTCTCTGGGGGAGGCCCAGCAGGGATAGAGGATTTCTCCCCACCTCCCTGGTTCCCACCTGGAGACCTCTGCAGTGGTCCTGAAGAAGGCCCCCTTTTCCAGGGACACACCCATGCAGACGCTTGCCCATGGCATAGTCAAGCATGGAGGCTCCAGGCCTCGCTTTGATGGGAAGGGGGGTGACCAGGGAGGAGCCCTTGCCTTAGGGAAGCTCATGTTTCCTAGAGACATCATGTTTTAATTGGAAGGCCAGCCTCTCCCACAGAGCTGGCTGCCCCACACCACAGCCCCGGGGGAGGAGAGTGTCAGGGCTCAAAGCGGGAAATTGCTAGAGACAAGAAGTAAAAACGGGCTACTCTGGTTTCACTGGGAAGGAAGAAAGAAAAGGCAAAAATCTAATAGAGAGTGGGGTTGCTGTTTAAAGAAAACTGTTGCTGTTGCAGCAGATTCAAGGCTGGGGCTGCTTTTTCTTTTTTCTTTCTTTCTTTTTTTTATTTTTGAGATGGAGTGTCTCTCTCTGTCGCCCAGACTGGAGTTCAGTGGCGTGATCCGGGCTTGCTACAATCACCTGGGTTCAGGTGATTCTCTTGCCTCAGCCTCCCAAACAGCTGGGATTACACTCACGTGCCACCACGTCCACCGGGTGAATTTTTGTATTTTTAGCAGAGATGGGGTTTCACCATGTTGGTCAGGCTGGGCTCAAACTCCTGACCTCAGGTGATCTGCCTGCCTCATCCTCCCAAAGTGCTGGAATTACAGGCATGAGCTACTGCGCCCGGTCTAGGGGGCTGCTTCTTTAAGGGGCTGGTTTCTCTGTCAAGGGAGGAAAAGTGTGGAAGGTGTTCTGTGGACCCTTCCCTCCTTGCACGAATAGTATTGAGCACCTACTGCCTGCCAGGCTGTGGCCAGGCACAGGGGCCCCTGCAGCAAACAAGGGAGCTGTGGTCCTTGGTGTGAAGGAGACATGCTGGATGCTGTAACAACAGGCGATGGGGCCCCTACCTTGTTTGGAGGTTCAGGGAAGACTTCCTGGAGGAAGCAGAATTTCAGAAGGGACTTCAAGAATGAGCGGAGCTGTCCAGAGAGGAGGTCAGGGAGGGCACGCCGGGGGGAGGAGGCTTGGAGTTGGAAAAAGCATGGCTGCCCTGGAGCAGGAAGGGTGGGAGGGAGCGTGGTGGGGCTTCCATCTGGCAGACGTTGCTTGAGATTTGTGACTTTTGTACTAAGAGCCATGCGATGCATTCTGTGAGTCTGTGGGTATCGAGACTGGCCACTCCCTCCGGACCTCTCCGTGAGCATCTCTTCCCGTCACACGGGAAGCCAGTGTCTGATTTGGGGGTGACTGTTGTGTCTCAGTTGCCCAAGCTGCCTGGGCTGCCCCAGTCTCCAAAGGAACTGACCACAAGCCCCTAACTGACTGCCCCTAGCCCTGGCTGCCCCTGGCCCAGCCACTGTGAGACCTGTCCAGATCCGGAGCC